AACTCCAGGCCTCGAGGGCCGGTGTCCTGCAGGTTTTAGATGTGTCCTTGATCCAACACAGCTGATTCAAACGGCTGAATGACCTCCTCAACATGTCCTGAAGTTCTCCAGAGGCTGCTAATGAACTCATCATGTGATTCAGGTGTGTTGACCCAGGGTGAGATCTAAAACCTGCAGGACAGCGGCCCTCGAGGCCTGGAGTTTGACACCCCGGTCTAGTGGAACATGTCTGAATGCCCTTCAGTGGAACAAACACTAGTTTCTTGGGTTTTTTTCACTGCACCAACATTTAAGTACCAGCAGGAAGCAGTAAAAAGTCTAAATGTTGTGTCATTCATACAGTAGAATAATTATCTGTTTCCTGAAAATGAAACTAAATTTTAGTACTTAGTTCAAGTGCCTGTTTGGCTCCAATAAAAGAATCTCAGTTCCTCCTTTTCAGTAGCTCAGACTGGTTTCCATGTTGTACACACTGGTCTTTGCAGTGTTCAGGTTTAACTGCTTTGTGTTTCCTTCCAGAGGAGCGACTTCTATTGTGTATCGCTGTGAGGAGAAACAGACCCAGAAGCCCTACGCTGTCAAAGTGCTCAAGAAAACGGTCAGTGAACCAGCATGATGGAGACTGTAGCAGTCCAACAATATATAACATGTGCACAGATGAGTCGAAACATTATTAGCAAGAAATGATGAAGAAAATAACGTAGACTGTCCAGTTAGACCAGTGCAAGTCAAAGTCTGGGAGTCAAAGTCACGTGTTGGTTTGCCAAACTGTGTTTGATGGGGGGGCTTCTGATTCTTGGTGGCTACCAATCCAACGTCCTGGACGGATCTGCTGCTAATATCTTTGTGATATACAGGAAACCTTCAAAAACACTGTTTCAGCAGAAGATATTTGTTATGTTTGGACTTATGAGGGTAAATCCATCCATTCTGATAATGTTTCTTCTGTTGCAGATTGACAAGAAAATTGTTCGCACCGAAATCGGCGTTCTGCTGCGTCTTTCTCACCCAAACATTGTAAGTATATGCGATATATGTTATTGGGCTTTTCTCTCTATAACTGTAGGGTCTGTACCCTACATTATAGAGCACTTTGAGTGGTTTGGCACTATCTAAATGAAACTAAACTGAATCGAAAAGAGGGTTGAGAGCCTAAAATAGGTTTTGTGCCGAGCTGTAACGATGCTTGTTTACGGCAGTCTGTGGGAATTGGGTTGTTCTTGGCCTTGGTTCCATTTGGCTGCAAACAGGTCAACGTTTTTCTGAAATACATTTTCAAAACCATCAGAAATTTAAACGTGGATCTGCATTTGTAAAGAATTATTTGATGGGTGGAAATGGAAGTCTTAGCCCAGAGATCCACTAACCCCAAATGATCTGCTAACCCCATCAGATGACAGCCAATAAGCTCCCAGACTGTGAGCGGTCTAGTTCAAGTCAGGTCACTCGTAGAATATTTATATGTATTACTTAATCAAAATTTTCCTCCAGCTTTTAATGTTGTTGGATAAAAGTGTTGTAGAGTTGTGAACTTTCAAATCAAATTCAAATTGTATTTGTCACATACACAGTCATACACAGTCAGATATGCAGCTTACACAACTGCTCGTGACCTAAAGCGAAAAAAAGGCTATGAATAAGAAATAAATATGAAAAATAAAAAGGGTAAATTTAACTAGGAAGGAATAAAATAAAATATAAAAATTAAAGTTGAAAATAAAATAACTGTACAACAAAATACACAGTATAGAGATATATAAGAATGTATGAAGAAATATAAATATATATACAATAACAGCAGCTGTACAAGTATTAAATGGAAATGAAGAAATATAATGTCCAGTGTCCACATTTGTGTCTTGTGCAGTGCAAATATGCTGAAAGTAATTTAGTGATGAAGTGATTCGATTAGATGACCACACATCTAATCGAATTAGTGTAAACAAAGTCCAGCATGTCCAGTGGACAACTTTGAGGAATTATTCTTGGTCCATTCATGTGAGTCACACATAGTTGAAATAAGTGCAAAATATGAAGATATGGAAGAAAACACCAAAACAGACACTTCGGGTTCGTGCCAGGATATGAATGAATGACTTACTTTATAATATGCAGAATAAATCAGTTCATTTTAAAGTTCATGTTCACATTCACCTGGTCTGGTGTGTCTGAATAATCTCTCTTATTTTCAGTCGACTTTCCCCATAAATCTCTCTTTTCTTTGTATCACTGATTTTAAACACGACCCCTTAATGTGAGCTAAACACTTGTTTATGAGCTTGTAAGAATTTAGATTCAACGTTATTTCAATCTGAGTTAATCTACCAAGTATGTGAGCTATAGCATGTATACTAATGTTTTATTTAAGACAAGACTGACGCATCAGTTCTGTTTTTCTTTTCTTAGTACTATTTTAAAAGCAGGTCGATAAACTGCACCACAGTATGTGATGTGTGTGCTTTTTTATTGTACTGTAAGTATTGAACTGTCTATTGTCTGTTTCATGTTTGTTTCTATATTTGTTGAATCTGAGACAATGATGACTGGAAACATGAAAAAATCTTGTTACTATGTTTCTGCTTGTAAAGTTCAAAAATACTTCAAAGTGTTTGCTCTTCTCAAGCATGTTTTAAGTGATATTGAGTGTTTATGTACCAGAGGCAGAATCAGTTGGTTTTGCCTTCACTATTAGTGGAGTTTCAGTTAGTGCCTGTTGTTTACCTGGTGGTTAGGCTTTGGCACTAAAAGATACCTAGGCTTTAAAGGCCCAGCCTTTAGGCTCTGAAGCATCCTTGAAAAGGTTTACAGGCCTAGGCTGGGATTAAGTTGTATTAATTAACATCTAATCCACCCTGAAATGGATAATTGGATGGATGGATCATCATCATCATCATCATCATCATCATCAACTTTATTTATAAAGCACTTTAAAACAACCACAGCTGACACAAAGTGCTGTACATTGGAATTGTAAAATAAAAGTACATGAGATATACTTAAAAAACAAATAAAAGAAGAGTGAAATCATTAATTAAATAACTACTTCAATTAAAAGAGAAACTAAGTCTCACTGAGGTTAAAAGCCAAAGAATAAAAGTGGGTTTTAAGACGTGACTTAAAAGTCGACAGTGAAGGGGCCTCTCTAACGTGCAAGGGCAAATTATTCCATAATTTTGGAGCCACAATAGAGAAGGCCCCGCCCCCTCTGAGCTTCCTCCAGGAGCAGCTGGTCAGCTGACCTGAGAGACCGACAGGATGAATAGGAACAACTTGGTTAAGATTAGGTTCTATAAAGTGCTTAGTTAGGTTAGGGTTAGGTTTTACGCTGATAGATAATTAGTAGGTTCAGACACTTAAAATCCTGATTGGTTTAGGAAAAGATTGTGCTTCTATCGTTCACATTAGAGTTGGGAATGACACAACAAAACCCAGGATGCTGTTCTATACGACACCTTCATGTGTCAGTGAGGAACACCAATGGTTTTGACAAAACTGGACATTTTTGCACTCTTAGAGTGAATTATTCAATTACCAGTAATTTGAGCAAATAACAACAGTCCCACTGAAGTTCGATTGTTATATGGACATATATATATATATTTACATATATGACTCTCAGTATTCGCTCATGCATTTTTAATATATTTTTTGCTTCTTGTGCTTGCCTGTGGCTCAGATCCAGCTGAAGGAGATCTTTGAGACAGACACAGACATTGCTCTGGTGCTGGAGTTGGTGACTGGAGGAGAGCTCTTTGACCGGTACGTACACACTCACATTAGCTGCTTTAGCTGCCCTACTGACATCGCTGTGGTGTCACTGGTTGGCTTAGTTTGAGAAATCTTTGATTACAAGTTGGGCTGTAGTCTGGAGTTCAGTTACAGTAGCTGTTGTGCAGTTGTAATGGCAGTAGTTGCTGTGTTGCATTTGTTACGTTAGTTTCAGTGGTGTGTGTAGATAAATGCACTGCTGTAGCATCAGTGGTTGCACATGCTGCATCAGTTGTGTTGGTTGGTCAGTTGCAGGTGTTGATCGAGATGGTGAATAGTGGAGTTTGGCTCGATCCATGTTGTTATGTTCAGTTACAGATGTTGAGTTGGTGTGTTTAGATTTGCTGCAGCAGCTGTGGTGATTGGTGGAGTAGCGAAAGTTGCAATCGTCTATTTTTGGTATATGGTTTTGTTCATGGTTGGAAGTGTGGCTGTAGTGGCAGAGGCTGGTTTTGCTGCAAAAGTTGTAATGTTTGGTTGCTATAGTTAAGAGCACAATTCCTGCTAATGAACAAATCGCTTAACCCGGCAGTTTTCCTGTAGTTGCAGTGGTTGCCATGGTTAGATGTTGCTGTACTTTGGGTGTTTTAGAAGTTGCTGTGTCTGGTTACAGACATTTCTGTAACTGAAGTTCTATGTTTGGGCACCGAGGTCCAGTGTTAAGTTACTCATGCTGTTATTAAAGAACTTGTCATGTTTACTGGAGGTGTTACTGAAGTTTCCGTGTCAGCGATTGGTCATTTACATAAATTAACATGTTTAGTTGAAGCAGGTGTTGCTGTGTTTCGGTGGCGTTGTTGGTCATTTTTACAGGCTACAACAGCTACAGCTACAGCGGTTTGCTCATTTTGTCCTGAGACTCTTAAACTGAGATGCAAAAGTCAAAGAGAATGAAAGTACTAACAGCTTTTCCCAACATCTCTGTTGGAAAACCAAACCAGACAAACACGTACACTAAAGTGTAACCAATCAGAGAACAGATAAAGAGACGCTGCTCTTGATTTTCATGTCATTTTATCTTTGACTGTTTTTGTTTCCAGGATTGTGGAGCGTGGTTACTACAGTGAGAGAGATGCCGCTCATGTCATCAAGCAGATTCTGGAGGCTGTGGCGGTAAGATGCTGCATTCAGTGTCTGGTTTGACTTTGACAGTGTTTTATTAAATTGTAATAAAAATTGAATTATTGTGGAAACAAAGGCCTCGACAGGCTACGAGCAACGAGAGGAACTACAGAAATCCTGAGAGGAATTACAAAAAAAGACTCTTTGCCTATAAATAACCTTTACAGGCCCAAATGCTGCTGTTATTCATTTAAAACCAAAGGTTTAGTTGCTGTACTTCCCATGTTTAATCCCTGGTGCTGCCTTTGTTACAGTAGTTGATGTACTTGCAGGAGAGGCTTATTTTTTGACCTGTGTTTGGTTACATGTGTTGCTTAAATTGGTTGGCTTAGTTGGAGTGGATTCCTCGTATAGTTGTAGGTCTTGCTGCCACTGCAGGAGCTGGTTTAGTGGTTGTTGTTTGGTTGCAGTAGCTTCCATGCTGCAGGTGCTGCTGATACTACAGTAATAGGTTTAGTTGCACAGTAGTGATGCTTAATCACATTTTCAGTAGTCGCAGGTTTATTTAGAGTGGCTGCTGACAGCTGGCATTGAGGCTCAGTTTGATCTATTTGGTTGGTGTTGCTATACTTTATACTTCGTAACTGCTTGGTGTGGTTGCAGCAGTTGCTGTGTTTAGTTGCAGTTTCCTCCGCTGGTGCATGGTTGTTTGGCTGCATTATTTTGCAGTAGTTGCCATATTTATTTCCAGCTTCTGTCATTCCACTAGTTTGTTTATTTGATGTGGTTGCTATGTTTAGTTACACGTGTCGCATCAATTGCCATGTTACTTCTTTTGATGTAGTCGTTAATTCAGTTGCAGTAGTTTCCACGTTTAGTTTCTTTTGACAGTAATTGCTGTTATTTTAAGGCTTAAAATGGAAGAAGCTCTGGGAACCTGAGCTCTGTCTGGGTTTTCTGCTTCTGATCAATCAGCTGCAGCGTCTTTGCTGTCTGTGGATCATTTACCTCCATCCACCCCTCGGCTCATTAGATTACTGCTCGCCCCCACCAGCTCTGCTCAGTCTCTGCAGCCTCACACCAAACCTCAGCTGTCAAACAGTCTGTTTATAGATCTGAAAGGTTTCATGGAGAGCAGGTCGTCAAATCCGTAGAGGCAATGTATGTAAAATTAAATCAACACTGTCAAAGGTGTTGGGCTTTTTTTTCCTCATCTGATGGAGCTAATTTACCGTTTTTTTGGTCACAGGCTGACTAGAAACGTATTAAGCTGATATTTATCTGAAAGAACTAGATGTGACATTTCATTAGCACAGAAACATTATACGGCTCTGACAGGAGTCTGTTATCTTGCCATTCAGAAGAGGATTTTGTTCCTCGTGTAGGCGTGAGCCCTCCTCCAACTGATGAATCACAATCTTCCTGTTTCTCAACAGATTTGATCAAACGTTGAAGTGGCAAAGAAATCATATTTAAAGGTCAGCGTGCTATGCTTAATACAAAACCAAGAAGCATTCACTGACATGCTTATACAACACTGTACTGAACACAGACACAGAACGAGCTGATTAAAGAAGCGAGTGAATCATAATAACATGTCATTATTACCAGCATGAGACATCCCAATCTTTTGATGATCGTCTGAAGCTTTTTGTTGCAGCTGCGGTTCTTCCTGTAATCATAATGCAAAACACACTGAGGCTGAGAGGCGTGTCTGCCTGTCAAGGCAAACTCAGGGGACCCAACACAGGTGTTGATGTATAAACATACTGTTAATATATATATATATATAT